GCATAATATGGCATCAGTTTGCATTTGTCCTTATTTATCATAAGTTTTCATTGGTGTCCATCTTTTCAAATTGACCTCTGGCTTTCTTGTCAATGTATATTGAATAATAAGTAAGTTTTTTGGTTTTTTTTTTTTTTTACTATGTCTTTGTCCCTCTCTTGCAGTAAGCCTCGAACGGTGGAAGAGATCTGACCATTGAGATAAAGCCTGGTTGGAAGAAGGGCACAAAGATCACTTTCCCTGAAAAGGGAAACCAAGAGCCTGGGGTTATACCGGCAGATCTTATATTTGTTGTAGATGAGAAACCTCATGCTGTTTATACGAGAGGATGGTAATGATCTAGTGGTGAATCAGGAGATCTCTCTCCTGGATGCCCTTGCAGGAATGACACTCGAGCTGACAACGCTGGATGGACGGAATCTCATGATACCATTGACAGAGATTGTCAAACCAGGCAATGAGGTAGTTGTCCCTAACGAAGGAATGCCTATTTCAAAGGAACCTAGAAAGAAGGGGAATCTCAAGGTCAAGTTTGATGTTAACTACCCATCAAGGCTTACTGCAGAACAGAAATCTGAACTGAGAAGAGTTCTGGGAGGAAGCTCATGAAATCTCTTACTTAAAATGTCCAGGAGGCGAGTATAGAGTAACACAGATAATTCAACTGCTGTCGGATGTAAATATAGTACATGTATGCAATTGATGAATGTGAATACAAGAAGAAAATCCAAAAAGTTGGAGGGTGAGTGGAAATGTTGTGAAGTCCTTGCAGTGTGGTGGTTGAAGTTGTTATTAGTGTTGGATTTTTCCAATAACAAAAAAGAACGTCAGAGTCTAGTGGGAGGAAATAGAAAGGTCAACTGTCTTTGATTGGAACTCTGTATATTTTGAAGTCATATTTTTTGTTTTACCACCCATGTTTTAGTATCCATCTCACTTTGGTATTTACACCATACGGTCCATATCATCAAATGTAATGCTTGATTTATCATTCTACTTGAGCTTTTACTTCATATTAGTTATATGCTGGAGTTAAACATATCAGTGCTGAGCATTCTCTTCCGACGAACTTGTCTGCTTTTTTTTTATGTCCATGTGTATATGCTAGTTGTTTGGATCTGTATTCCTTACCGTTTGCTTATCTAGCCGTAGTTTACTTGGCTTCATGGGAATAGAGTGGGGATGCAGCATAAGTCCATCCTATAGGATTGTCAAATTATGGTTCTACTTATCTTCAAGCAAAGCTGCAGGTTGTGTTGTCTTTTTTTCACTGTAATATTTGGAATTATTCTGGGTTCTCAAATTAACATCAGGTGCATCATTTCGAAAGAAGATATGAAACTCTTTATGCAAGGACCAACTGCAGAATCCGATGGCCTTACATATGGGGAGATTCTGGCTGTTCGAGTGTGAATTCAGACGAAAACAGCCTGCGTGACAAGGACGGGCAACCAACAAATAGCCGTGTGGCTCCATGCAAACTTTGTGGTGTGTTAGACCTGTGCCTCAGGTAGGCTCAGGTCGAACCTACACCACCTCGATCCTATGGAGTTTTCCAGCCCCTTTGAGTTGGTGGAATTTTGGCCATGGGGCCGTATCGATCGATTCAGGCCTCAAGGCAGACAGAAGTCAGAGATTGTAGACTTGTAGGCATACTGGGGGAGCGGCCCAGATGGGAAAAACTTCACCAACTCTAGATGGGCCAAACTCTGAGGACTTTTTTCTTAAAAGATGGTAGCTGTTCACCAACTTATCTGTATATTTATGAGAAGATTATGCTAGTGCCAAAAAAAAAAAAAATCGATATCATAGTTAAAGTTGATTTGTGTGTATGAATTTTCGGTTTGATTCATGTCTAGCAATTTATCATAAATATATGAAAGTCTACTAAGGAATAAGAAAACTTTACAGGCATCAATCACATCCTCATTAGCCCAACAAAATAAAGGTGTGGTTTCCGAAAGATTTAGTTGGACCCTTTACTTTAGCATAAAAGTAGAATCAGTAAAGGGACAGCGGATCTCTATCTGAGCTGAATGAGCTAAGGGTAATTCTACAGTGCCAATTTTTTTTTTAAAAATCGTATTGAAAATTATTATTTTTTAAGGTCAAATTACACTTTTTAAAAGTAAAATTACAATTATTTGAGGTAACTTCATAGTAATAATTTTATTTTTAAAAATTGTAATTACTACCTCAAAAAAAAATATAATTTCGCCTCAAAAAGTTTAAGTGTTTTCCTTCTGAAATAAGGCAAAGGCAAACCTTCTCAATCAAGACTATTCCACTACCATCATGTCTTTTTAAGAATCCTAGTCAGAATTGCAAAGGCAGTTCTTTATCTTTCTAAACATCAAGGTTGTCGTAGCTAGCTTATATTTTACTGATTGCAACAACTGAGCGAAAAAAAAATAAAATTTGAAGTCAGACCTTATAGTAGCCAGAGGCTATAGTTGGTATTCTAGTTGTCCAGCATAGGTTGGTTCAGTAGGAGAAGAAGGACCGTGTACGTCACAAGTTAGAGACCTACTACTTGTTGCATAAAACTCTCTATCTCAAATTAATGGATGATTCTCATATTTTTGAGGTTTACATTGTAACATGAATTAAAAAGTACATGCGATCCCCAATTGTTAAAAAAAGTTGGGGCATTCAACTTTTCTTTCTCATTCTCTATGCTTCCAACATTCATGTAGCCAAAGAATAAATTCTAGAATGTCTAACAGTCGCACTGTTTCCGTGCATTTGATTTATAGGGTTGAAGGAACTATGAGAGGAGAGGCCATGTCGGATTCCTACTGCTACTTCAGCTATGCCCACAAAATTATTAAAAAATCAATAGTTCATGAAACTTTTTTTTTTTTATTGTGGTCAGGGAAAGAAAAAGGAATCCTTAACATAAGTGCAGAAAGCAGTCCAGTAGCATGAGCAAATGGTCGGTCATATTGAGTTTGTGTTCTCAACATCACTGGGAATGGCTTTATTCCATGCAATGATCAAAGACACGAGGCATCAAAGATTTAGTTGTATCTAATTTATAAGTTTTGATGGGACACTGGTGGAAAAGGAGTAGATGGCAACACATGTCCTCGACACCGAAGATACACTTTTGTTCTAACAAGGACATGTGTCCTCGACACCGATGACAGTCTTTTGCCCTTGATAGAAACACGTGTCTTCCGCTCCGAGGGCATGTGTTGTCCTTTTGCAAGTGCTTATGCTCGATGCCGAGGTACTCCTCCTCCCTATGACAGATTTGTGTCATCGGCCCCAAGGGTGCTTGCTGAAGCTCTGATCTGGCCACATGTCCTCGGGTTTTGAAGAGGCTACTAATTGACAGCTGAACAGTTAAACTAGATTAAAAATCATAAGGTGCTCTGCATAATAAAGTCAGAATGACAGAATGAATTGGACATTCAACTAGAGAGGGTCAGATGCGTGGCATAAAGTGCAGGATGAAGGGTAAACAGACAGAAATACCCCTGCTGATTTACGGCTATCCCTGACAAACATTTAATGAATCTTCAGTGATGGGACATCTACAGTAAGCTTGAGAAGCCGAGAATATGGAATATTAAATGTCTTGGACTCCTAGCATTAAGTGTTTATATCAAAGAAAGAGCATTACTTTGGGAGCCCGAATAATCAATAATGGGGTCTCCTCCATGCAAAATAGGAGGCACCCAACACTATGTTTGGGTACTACCTATTGACTAGGTCATCATTAATGGTGAGCCTTTAGAGGTATAAATAGTTCCAAAAAATGTGAAGTAAAGAAATGCAAAATCATCTCTCAAGAACTATACAGTGCTTCTTCTTCTCCTTTCTCAAAGAATTGATTTGATCGTCGGAGGGGATATGTTGAAAAAACATCCAGCACCTCTTCTAACCCTTTTTCTGTGTGACAAGAAGCGCCCGTAACCCGCTTGAATCGATCGAGCAGCTCTGGAGCAATTCATCACTACTCCTTAAGTCCCATTTGGCCCTCTCAACTAGTTCCTCATTGTAGGATCCACCACCTTCTCAACGAACATGAGTTCACCAGAAGATATTTGTTTTCATTTCATCTATTGTGTGAAAATTATCGTGCACAATTTGATATAATTCATGAATTCAATCCGAAACCAACATGAAGTTACTGAAGTTTGCGTTTAATCTGAAGAGTTGAGTGACAAGTATATGGAATTATCAAATTCGTTAAGTAAATGAATCAGGAAGCACTCTACTAAATATGACACAGATGAACTAAACACGTTTATACACTGCATAAGTTGCATAATATAAAATATATTATACCGGTGATAGATGAATCAAGTATTAAATTACATTAATACTAGACACGAAATGACTTGCACTATCTAGAAGATGACAAAGACATGACTTATTGACAATTTTAATTTTTAATCATACTGATGGGACTCTTCTGAAAAGCCCTAGATGAAGACACGTGTCCTCGGGTTTTGGAAAACAGTGTTGCCGGATGTAAGCACCATCGGCGAAAGAGCGTCCCTCTCCCTGAGTACCCCTTAAAGGATCACACATTCGGTGCATTTGTAGAACAGTGTCCTCGGTCGCTGTGTAGCTCGGGAACATCCACCCTCGGTCCCCGAGGTACCTCCATAAGGATCATATTCCATATAACAAACACGTGTCTCGGTACGTGTACCTCGGAACACTCGGGGGAGGTGAGCCTTTCCTCGGTGCCGAGGGTCACTCCATCCTGGACGCTTCCTCTACTCCAAGATAAAGCTACTGACGTACGGGACATCAGCCTATGCCAGTCTAGACTATTCATCATGACCTCGTCTTACACAAGTAATGTCAGAACATGCTGGAATACCGACGTCACAGCCAATAGGGATGGACGCGTGGCAAATAATGTCACATCAGAAGCAGACAAACCGCATGCCGTTGCTGACACGCGACTTGGGAAAGCAAACAATTAATTGCACCCTTCTGTTGACGAGACCGCATTCAATGCGGTAAGGTTCGGATATGAAAGGCAATAAATGCTCCTATTACAGAGCATTTATTGCATCCTTCCCGAAAGGAGCATATTGTACCGTCGGCGTCCCGACGACTCAGCATTGATTGCTCGGGACCCCGAGCAGTCAATTAGAGAAGACATTCCTCATCAAATCAATACACACGCTACCTGTGCCTGATGATCACCTACTGACCACACTGACAGCAATCATGAGCTTCTAAGGTATAAATACTCCTCCCAAAAGGCAAAGCGGGTATGCAATCACAAACTCTCTACTACAATACAGACTTCTCAGTGTTTTCTTCTTCCTCTCTCTCATTCAAAGACTGACTAGACCGTCGGAGGGGATACGCCGGAAAACACTCCGGCACCCTTCTAACTTGTTCTTCTTTGTTCCAGGAAAACCTTTCACACGTACAGGATCGTTCTTCCTTTCCCAGGATCTTCTTTTGCCGTTCCAGGTTGCCACCGTACCTTGCAGGCTGTTTCAAGCAGCGTGTTTGGCCACTCAACCGGCTCACTCAGAGTTCACCAGGGGAGAGATCTGTTCCCAATATTTTTTATATTGTGCAGGATCTTGCACGCACAATCTGGCGCCGTCTGTGGGAAACGAGTAGTTTTCCTAATCTTTTCTCTATAAAGAACAGTGACCATGGTGAACACCAGACAAAAAGGGAAAGGACCCCACCAAAGGAGTCATGAGTTGCAAGCTCCCTGCCATCACGGAGGGAGGGATCGCACCAGTACGATTAAAAGTGCCTCTACTCGGTCAAGGGGGGTAACCCCCCAAACCAGTATGGGGATCAGGTCAGGAGGATCAGCCCCCTTGGCCCGTCAGCTGGCAGAGGTGATAGAAGAGAAATTTGGCGATAGATTACGTCAGCTGGAGAAGGACAATGTAAACGTCCTTAGCCGGCTCGACGAGTTTGCCGCCTCAGGCGGAGGGTCGAGGGATTCATTCCTTTCCCGAGGGCTCCCCGTCCATGAGGCGGAGACAAAGGATCTAAGAAACCACCTGGATCACAAAGCAGAAAGCTCCAGGGCCCCGAAGCGACCCAGAGCCGGCGAATGCCATCTTGACAACCATTCCAGGAAAGCGAGGCCGTTGGCCCTGGACGACCTCCGGCGAGGTTTGTCCAGACGGAGGAAGGGAGATGAATCCGAGGAGGACTCAACCCAATCTACACGACGCCCGGGAAACGAGGGGCTTACCCATGAACCCAGGGACTTCAGGAGGCATCCCGTAAGGGAAGAAGTAGATCTCAGAGCCCGATTAGACTCCAGAAGAAAGGGTAAGACTGTCCAGGACGAGGCCGAGGACGAAGTCATGCAAACACCCTTCACGAGGGAAATCAGTGAGATGGATGTCTCAAGAAAGTTCGTCGTGCCACGGTTCAAAACCTATGATGGGCGATCCGATCCCGAAGCCCATATCAGACAATATAAGCAGATGATGTCCCTCTATCATTCGGACCAACGTTTTCTATGCCGGGTGTTCCCTATGAGCTTGGGGGACTCTGCGATGAGGTGGTTCGAGACGCTTCCCCCAAACAGTATTGGGTCCTGGAAAGAATTGACAAGGCAGTTCCTAACCCGATTCATCACGGGGAGTAAGCGCCCCAAGGACATTGGATCATTGTTGACCCTCAGACGGAGGGAATCC